GGGCTTAAAAGCCTGAATTTTGCCTGAAACTCTCAGACTGAAGAAGTCTCTTGGAGGAGAGACGAAACGTTTCATTAGAGAAGAACCCGTCCAGAGGACCTACAATTTTTTTTCTTTTTGATTTTTTTACCTGGATTACTGAGATGCATCAGGACATTGTTTATTACTTAATCTTCTTTTTTCTGAGTTTCATATGCTTTCCTTATTATCTGGCTACAGGTTTGCCTTTAATTGTATAAAGAAAATTTTGGTTTTTGACCAAAAAGTGTTGCAGAAGTAGATATTTAAAGTAAATTAGTTGCAGGGTTGTATTTGTTAAATCGTTCTCGAGCAAAAGTCTCATGCAGCTGTTATGACCACAAAGTAATTTGTGGAAAATAAACTTTAAATGGGACAATTTTCACCAGAGAAAGATTTGGTGCCTTTAAAAAATGAATGCACTCTCACTAGTAAGATTTCAGCTTTTAAAGCAATCTGATCATACAGATCCACTTGGTCAGAATTGCATAAGAGCACCAACAAAAATGAAAGCCACAGAAAATAAATCAAGTTTACTTGAAAATTTGACATCTTTGCTTTTATTTTTTTCCTCATTTTACAGCATAAAACGACACCTAAACACTCCCATGTTCTTTCATAACCTGTTGTATAGCATTTAAAGGTAACTTTGCAATGTCACGAGGACAGGACAGTGTGTGTTTTGGGATGACTCTGATACAACCCCACCAAACTGGAGCTCTAACTGTCAAAATGACACAGATAAAAGCATTTAGACGTTATGTGAACTGGATTGACTTCAGAAGGTAAACTGTTGTAATCAGCTGTTGCTAACAAACACACAAGCACATAATTACACAGTCGCCTGCCTTTTAATGACTGTAAACGATGACGATTAAACAGAAGAGTTGCTCACAGATTGCACCGTACGACCACAGATGTTTAATCTGGAGATGCGCATCGTAAAAATGACATTTGTTATTCCTGAGGGGAAATATGCATGTGCAAGATATTTGCATTAATTGTTATTTAAGCCTGTTTGTTAGCAAAATATTCAGTGAACCAGTGGACACATTTTAATGACTTTTTCAGAAAGCAACCATTGGATTCACGCTAACTTTTTGAGTTGATCCTATTAGAGGTAGCTGCCACCGCTAGTCAAGACTTCCTGATACAATGGCTTCAAACTTATTAAATTTTACAGATAATGAGCTAAAATCTGACATGGTAGTAGCTGAGAGTCATTCAAAGCACTTACTGACATCTCAATACTGATACTGTTCGAGACAACGTCAGGATTGCTACTTTTCTCATCCTAAAATGATCTTGTAAACCAGTGTTTCCCAAAGTTGGGGTTGGGACCCAAAGTGGGGTCCCCATAACTTCAAGGTGGGGTCCCAAAGTTGGGCTTGGGGCCCAATTATGGGCCATAAAGCACCTTGGATAATCTCCAGAAATCAATTTAAAGGGTATTAAAATAATTGCTGCTGTAATATTTTTTCTATAATTATTACAAAAACACAAAATAAGTATAAAAAAGTAATTATATGTGTGTACAAGCTGTTTAGATTGTCAAAAAGCCTGTGTTTTTAGGGTTATTAACAGAGTTCGTGTACTCAGACCAGTAATATTTGGGGTCACAAGTTTTTTCCATTGATATTTTGTGGGTCAGAAGACAAAAAGTTTTGGGAACCTCTGTTGTAAACCCTTGTATGAAAGATGGACAATATAAATCCCTTTTAAAGTATTTAATATTTTTGGTCTAATTTGCTGTGAAGGAAGTTGTCATTGTATGTTTTTAAGGCTGTTTGCTTGAAGACTTATGTTCCTAAAAGTTGGGATTTAAAAGAAATTGTCGTCTTGTGGGGGAGCAGGTTCACCACCTGGGCTTTCTGTGGGAAGTTTTCATGCCAGGGTACTACTCTGAGAATATTAATTGGGTCTTAAAAATTGTTTTTAAAATGGGTAAAACTAAATCCCGTTGTTGATATTCTGACATGAGAGGAATGTGAAGCTTTAAAACTTGGAGARATGTCCGATCCTCCTCCTGAATGATCCATTAGTGTTGAT